ATCACATCCCATCCCCCTCCCCACGCACACATCCTCCCCTCCCCATCAATCCGTCCCTCCCCATCACACCCTCCCTCCCCCATCCAAATCCCTTCCCCTCCCCATCATCCTTCCCCCTCCATTCACATTCCCTCCCTCCCCCATCAACATCCTCCCCCTCCCCATCACATCCCTCCCCCTCCAGTCACTATCCCTCCCCCTCCCCAATTCACCATCCTCCCCTCTCTCCTCCCTCCCCCTTCCCCCTCCCCTGGTCTTCCTCCCATCCCTCCACCTGCCCCCGCCCCGCCCCACCGGGGGGGAGGGGACTCTGTATTGGGGAGGAGGCTCTAATTTCAGGGTCCCGTCGGGGCCCCCGGCCATGAAATCCAAGAGCGCAGGCTGCTACCCGCCATTTTTTCAAATTTTATATTTATAAGTGCGATCGCATCAGTAAGAGTCTCTGCAGAAACCACCTGTGTTGGGGAGGGAGGCAGGGAAGGAGGCCCTGGTGTCTCAGACGCCGCCTCCCACCCCAGCACGGCCTCAAATCGAGAGCCCAGCGCTCGGGGAGCGAGGCGGAGGCCGGAGGTGGAGGCAGCCTCGAGCAAGAACAACCCCGTCTTACTAAAATAAAAATAGAAAGAAATTAGCCAACAACAAGAAGTATATAGAAAAAATGAGCCGGCGTTGAGGTGGGCATGCCGTGTATAGTCCACTACTCGGGAGGAGCGGAGGCGGAGATCGCTGGAGGCCAGGGAGTGGAGGCCAGCCTGAGCAAAGGCGGAGACGCCCCTGCTCTCTAACAAAAAAATAAAAATAGAAAGAATGCAAGCGCGCGTGGAGCGCATGCCTTTGTATAGTCCCAGCTACTCTGCGGAGGGAGCTTGAGCGCGGGAGGCTCGTCGAGCCAGGAGCTGGCAACACCAGCCTGAGCAAGAGCGAGCACCCCTGCTCTTTAACAAAAAAATAAAAATAGCAAAGAAATGAGCTGGACAACTAAACGCCTATATATGAAAAAACGAGCGGGCGCGCGCCGGCTCACGCCTGCTCGTCCCGGGCTACCTTTTGACGATGGATGAGGCCGGAGGGGTGGGAGCTCGATCGCTGGAGCCTCGAATTGCGGACGGCCGCCGCGAGCTAGGGGGGCGACTGGCCCCGCCCGGGCGACAGAAGCAGACTCTGTCTTTCCAAAAACGATAAAAATAAAAAAATTAGAAAAGAATTACGCTTCCTCTCGGGAGGGGCAGGTGTTTGCAAACAAGGGCCTCCCGATCCGCGCCTTGCCACTCTTAAGTGGTTTCCCTTCTGTCGGCTTTCTGCCGTTGAGATTCCCGGGGGCGTCCGGATCCTCGGGAGCATGGATTCCTTCTTAATGAGCTCTTTATTTTGATTTTATTTTTTTAACAAGCCTCCCAGGGGACCTCATCTTTCTGAGCCCAGAGATAATTGAACCTCGGCCTCCACCGGCCTCCATCTTCATGCGTCTCTCGGCCACACACGCGTGTTTCGTGTGTCTTCCTTGTCTCTCTGTCCCTCCAGTCTCCGGGATTTTGGCTTATTTAATTTTGGTCATTGGCTATATCTTCGGACAAGAATCTCGCTCTGAGGCCCGGGCCGGGCTGAGGGGCTCTAGCTCACGGCGGCCTCGAATTGAGGCCGGAGCACAGTGAGCCTCCCGCCTCGCCCTCCCTCTCCCCGATAGCTGGGACGACAGGCGTGAGCCACCATGCCGGCTCGTTTTGTTTCTATATATATATATATTTTTTTAGTGTTGGCCGAGTTAAATTTCTTTCTATTTTTTTAGTAGGAGACGGGGTCTCGTCTTGCTCAGGCTGGGCCCTCGACCCTCGCTGACCTCCAGCGGATCCTCCTGCCTCTGGCCTCCTAAGTAGCTGCGGGATGACAGCCACTAAATATTTTTTAAGGGGCGATTATTTCTAAATATTTTAAAGTATTTTAATATTTTAAGAATATCAAAATGTTTTTTAAACATTTAAAAAATATTTTGAAAATATTTCTTAAAACATTTTTTTTAGGCTGTTCCATACCTCCCGCCTCGGCCTCCTAAGTAGCTGGGACGACAGCTAGTAAATATTTTAAAAATATTTTAAATATTTTAAAGCATTTTAATATTTTAAAAGTATTAAAATAGTTTTTAAATATTTTAAGAGATTTTAAAAAATATTTTAAAAAATATTTTCTAAAATATTCTTTTAGCTGCCCAACTAATTTCTTTGTATTTTTTTTTTAGTAGAGAGGGGTCTCGCTCTTGCTCAGGCTGCCTCCGACTCCTGAGGCTCGGAGCGAGCCTCCCGCCTCGGCCTCCTAAGTAGCTGGGACAACAGCTACTAAATATTTTAAAAATATTTTAAAATATTTCAATATCATAAAATTTAATATTTAAAAATTTATTTTAATGTTTAAAATTTAAAATTAATATTTGAAATTTAATTTAATATTTAAAAACATTAAAATATTTTTTAAATATTTTAAGAGATTTTAAAAAATATTTTAAAATATTTCTAAAAATTTTTTTTAGCTGCCCAACTAATTTCTTTGTATTTTTTTTTTAGTAGAGACGGGGTCTCGCTCTTGCTCAGGCTGGCCTCCACCTCCTGACCTCGAGCGAGCCTCCCGCCTCGGCCTCCCTCCCGAGTAGAGGCTGGGACCACACGCATGCGCCTCCACGCCTGGCTCGTTTTTTCTATATATTTTTAGTTGTCCAGCTCATTTCTTTCTATTTTTTTTTTAGTAGAGACGGGGTCTCGCTCTCGCTCAGGCTGGCCTCCACCTCCTGACCTCGAGCGAGCCTCCCGCCTCGGCCTCCCAGAGTGCTGGGACGACAGGCGTGGGCCTCCACGCCCAGCTCGTTTTTTCTATATATTTTTTTACTTCCCCAATTAATTTCTTTCTATTTTTAGTAGAGACGGGGTCTCGCTCTCGCTCAGGCTGGCCTCCAACTCCTGACCTCGAGCAAGCCTCCCGCCTCGGCCTCCCAGAGTGCTGGGACCACAGGCGTGCGCCTCCACGACAGCTAAATTTTTTTTTTTTTCTTTTTAGTTGTTTGGCTAATTTCTTTCTATTATCATTATTTTTTTTTT